AGTGGAGAGCATTGTCAACAAATAGCGTAATATTCAATATAGATGGCCCCCAAGAGGGGGGGGGCGGGATGAAGAAAGGCCCATGCACCAAGAAAATATTAAGTTCAACAAATAAAACTGAAACACTTCAACATTCAACATGTAGAAATGAATGCATATATCAATTCTAGATAAATCCTTTATATGCATTTTTAATACTCTTTTTAAATGTCCCATCCGCTATTACAGTGCAGATTTATTTCACCAGCTGTTTCAGAAAAAGAAAAGAAAATATTACGCATCAAACGCACTTGCGATATTTTTTTAAAGATGATCATTTAGCGCAGTTTTCCGGAATCTTATTTCTTGAAATCAGTGGCATATTTCCATCACCTTCCCCTTGAAAAACAGGAAAAACTACCTGGGGATTTTTGGGGATTGGGGCTGAAAATTTGATGCAAAGTGTTGCCATGGGTAACGAGCCTATGTGTCAAGTGCTTGATGCATTGACGGGAAGTGGGTCAACAAGCCGTCCGAAGATTTTGCCAGCCAGTCACAAACAAAAGTGAAGTTAATATAAAGGATTTTTAAAAAGTTGACACAGTTCATTATAAAAATGTAATATTTCCAGGATAATATAGTTGCCACTGCCTAATATTAAATGAGAAGACTTGTAGTTATGCAGAGGTATCGGAAAACAATATTACTCCATATATCATGTGCACATTCATACTCCCACTTTCCAAAGCCTGGGCTCCTTCATATAACCCTCCCACTTTCCGGAGCCTGGGGCTCCTTCATATCACCCTCCCACTTTCCCAAGCCTGGGGCTCCTTCATATTTTTCTCCAGATTCAGTTTATAAAATGTCTCTTCACTCTAAAAAGGTTACTGATCCCTGCATTCTTTGTTTTTATATTCTGATCCTCTAACACACCAACAACATGACCACAGCCTTCACACCAACAACATGACTATAGCCTTCACACCAACAACATGACTATAGCCTTCACACCAACAACATGACTACAGCCTTCACACCAACAACATGACTATAGCCTTCACACCAACAACATGACTATAGCCTTCACACCAACAACATGACTATAGCCTTCACACCAACAACATGACTATAGCCTTCACACCAACAACATGACTATAGCCTTCACACCAACAACATGACAAGCCTTCACACCTACACAACCCCAGCCTTCACAACATGACTACAGCCTTCACACCAACAACATGACCACAGCCTTCACACCAACATGACTATAGCCTTCACACCAACAACATGACCACAGCCTTCACACAACACGACCACAGCCTTCACAACATGATTACAGCCTTCACACCAACATGACTATAGCCTTCACACCAACAACATGACTATAGCCTTCACACCAACACGACCACAGCCTTCACACCAACAACATGACCATAGCCTTCACAACAACATGACCACAGCCTTCACACCAACAACATGACTATAGCTTTCACACCAACAACATGACTATAGCCTTCACACCAACAACATGACTATAGCCTTCACACCAACAACATGACCACAGCCTTCACATCAACAACATGACCACAGCCTTCACACCAACATGACCACAGCCTTCACACCAACAACATGACCACAGTCTTCACACCAACAACATGACTATAGCCTTCACACCAACAACATGACCATAGCCTTCACACCAACAACATGACCACAGCCTTCACACCAACAACATGACCACAGCCTTCACACCAACAACATGACTATATCCTTCACACCAACAACATGACCACAGCCTTCACACCATCAACATGACCACAGGTTTCACACCAACAACATGACCATAGCCATCACACCAACAACACAACCACAGCCTTCACAACATGACCACAGCCTTCACACCATGACTACAGCCTTCACACCAACAACATGACCATAACCTTCACACCATCAACATGACCACAGCCTTCACAACATGACTACAGCCTTCACATTAGATCAAACAGAGCTGATGTGCAGCAGTTTTCAACGTGTGGTCATGAAGATTAAATCTTAATAGTAATTTAACAACATAAATTTTGTCTGCCAACACAGTCTCAGTCTGTATTTTGTTCAAACATGAATGGTGTGTTGTAGAACTTTCATTGCAAAGATTTATAGTAATTATAGGCCACCTGTACCAGTGTGCTGTCAAATGAAGCAAGCTTTCAACAATTAATAACTTTGATCAAACTTTCACTTCATTAAACCAACAATATGTTTCAAAATTCAATCAAATATTGTCTTAGTATAGAACACTAGTTCTATTGCCTAGATCTCTTGGAGACATTTGCTTCATTTTAAAATCATGTCAAGACTTGAATCATTTTGGTATTGGTAACATAACATTTTATTTTGGCTGTGGTGACATCAGACTTGTCATAAACATTGTGCACAGTTTTTAAACAGGCAGATATCAGGATCAGTATTCAGTGGTTACAGGTTCAGTATTCAGTAAGTGTGATGTCAGTATTCAGTAAGTACGATGTCAGTATTCAGTGAGTGCAGAGTCAGTATTCAGTAAGTAGAATGTCAGTACTCTGTTGATAAGACATATTGTAATAATATTTCAAAGTAACAATCCTAAATACACACAAAGAGTAAACTCAACATCCTTGATCCTAATTTGTTGTTAAACAAATAAATCTGAGTAGTTAAAGTATATTTTAAAACTGTGCTAATTATCAATAACCCCATGATGGCATCATCGAGGGTGATGTCTTTTGTTCATATAAATTGAAGGATTTCAGAATTCTCGGCTCTCAAGGCATATTTATTCAATGTTGGTTGATGCACCTCTGACATGATTTATGCACATTTTACAACTGATCAGACAATTAACTTGGACATGTGTAAATGCAACGCTATCAAACACTGCAATTAATTTTCATATTATGTAGCTAATGCTCAAAGTCTGTCAACAAATTTCAAATTGAAGTCTGTTTAGAAAAGGAAAAAAATATGAAACATCTGATTATTTATATAAATGAGCAAAAAAAGCCACCCCCACCCCCACCCTCTGTTCCCCAAATGCCCATCACTCCATCAATCAGTTCTGCACCTACTGTATGGGAGAACTGTAAGCCACACAAATGTAAATGTAGAAGGAAATGGAGGATAACATAAACAAGATACATATCATAACTTTAGCCAGAGCTCTTTTACAATAACTGCATGTAACAAAAACAATACTGGTAAATTACAATCATTAAAAAAATGACTACAATAAAGTTTGTTAAAATAAAACAAGGCAGTAAAGCATTTATACAGTTCACCACAGTAGGTGGTCAAGTTTTATGTTTTCACTTTGATGATCGCAAGAGTGGGACTAAAAAACAAAACAACTGATTACATCCAAAGGGTTGAACTAATCAACTTAAAAACAACCAACTAAATTAAGAAAATGAAAAAATTTAATTTTCATGCAAAGCTCATTGTAAAAAAAAATAAAAAAATAATCTATTGAGAGGAAACAAGTCAAGTATGACATGTACAGACTTCTTACAGACATGAAAGTGAAAAAAAAACAAAGAAATCTCATATTGGCCATTCATGTAAATTAGTTTCTAATAATGTGAATCATTTTAAGTAGGGCCTAATCAAAATAAATGGTTAAATAAGTTCTTTCAGTGCATGAGTTCCAAATATTGAAACTGCCATTCAAATGACATAACAATAAGGCTCGAAGAAACATCTCACTAAACCAGGCCTGCCCAACATACTTTTGTGCAGAGTTGTGCAGGTCTGCACTAATCAAACCATACATTTTACTGGCATGTAGACTCAGCAACAGATATCATGTTTTAGCATTTTAAAGTATTTTCATGACTAATTAGATTCACAAGCATATTATCTCCATAAAAATTGTAAATGTGAATTAGAGTTTCATTATGATTCTCTTGGCAAGTCATAATGAACTGTCTCAATGTTATTCCCACAAGTCTAAGGCTATACCTCCATCAGTCAAGCAGAATCCACTGTCTAATCTCCAAAAACAATCACAGACCTAATGCTGAAACACAAACATGGCTTTAATTTAATGTGCTGTTACAAATTAGTCAATTTTTTTTTTTCCAGCAATAAGTAATCTTAGAAGTATCTTATTTTACCGCGTATAATACAAAAAATTTAGGTTAAAAATCCTATGGAAGGTAAAAGTTAAGGATTCGCACTGCACTCACAAAAGCAGTTTTTTCACTGCCTGTTAACAATTTATGATAAAACATAGCAACACGAAAAATGTATGAATCCCCCCACACCCCCCCCCCCCCCCCCCCCACCCCCGTGCTCACATTCTTATATGTTAACTTACTTCCTAAAAGAATCAATCACAACTTTTGAATGAAAATAACATTTAAAGTTAGATATTCATCAAATTTTGAGTACTTAAAAAAAATCAATGAATAGCAATTTTATGAAAATAGAATCAGATGACTTCATGACGAATTTAGATCTAATCAATCTGTTAATTATGCTAGCTGCAGTAATACATCTTCCTGTAGGTTACACTGTACTGAATTTAAACCCGGTGAAATTAATATTGTATGCCTTGTCAAAGTTATAGAGTTATTGTTATGAAACAAGATTAACAGTTCACATGATATGCGGACATCGCATTTTACGGCTTTTTTTTTCAAACTAAAATTTAGGCATTTGCATTATTAGTGGATTGCGTTAGGTGCAGTAAAATAGTATAGCTTATTTTTATATTGGATTATTTTATGGGATGGTTGAAGACATGTTATGTTAACCACTTAGCTACCGATGACGCTGACGTGATGTCACAATCATCCACTTTGAATTACCAAGGACATCACATTGTCATCATAACTAAGAGGCAAAGAACTTTTCTCAAATACCAAGGACGTCACGTCGACGTCATATTTCAATGCTATATATTAATTTATTCGTTAATCTATAGAGAAGTTAAAAAGCAAATCCGATAGTGTTTTTTTTATTGCGGAGTCAGCAAAAATCGATGCCCAAACCCAGCGATAATGAAAGGGTTAACTTAATTGGGAATTCACAATCATTCACATCAATTCCCAGAATACTTTTTACAAGTAAATAGATATGTGGCATAATGATGAGAATAGGTAATTTTCTTTTAGTCCCAGCTGAAATTGCTTCACTCCCTAATGTTTGTTGTAACTGATAATAATTACAATATAAGTCAGTTTACACAAATGTGGTAGTAGGTTGGGATTGGTTTCTATTGTTTGTTTGTTTTTTTTTCTTTTGGTGGGGGCGGTTTAGGTGTAAGAAGGGAATTGTGATGTCCCATTGGGATTTTGTTATGCATGCCAGTATGACAAAAAATGGTAATGCAGAGTGAAAAAATTGTGGGATGTCACATAACGATGAGCTCCTCAGGCAAGCAAAACAAAAACAAATAAATCCCTCCTCTTTCTACTGACCTTTGACCTGTGTGCATGTAATGGAATGCTTCATTGATCTTGTCCAGAGGCAGGGTGAATGTAACAAATTCATCCACTTTCAGCTCTTTCTTTAAGTACTGATCTACCAGCTTGGGGACAGAGTCACGGCTCTTCCATCCTTGTAAAGAAAATCACATAAAATAATGAAACCACATATCAAATTTTTATGGAATGGTGTATAATAGTACTATTTCATTAGTCTGCACAAAAGTTTTAATTCAACATCTTGAATGTAATTTGTTTGAGAAATTGAAAATATTTTGAAGATTTAGGTGACATCCATAAATGAATTCAACTCATACACTGCTTTTTTTTACTTGATATGTCTTCAGTTAGGGATTTAGATCAAAGCTGCATTAACCCAAGAAAAGGATATAAAGAATATTATAAAATTTGAGACAACCCAGCAACATGGCTGGACTACTGCACTCATTGTCTCTTGTCCTGATGAATGCATACCAAAACCCACCATTGAGACAACCCAGCAACATGGCTGGACTACTCCACTCATTGTCTCTTGTCCTGATGAATGCATACCAACACCCACCATTGAGACAACCCAGCAACATGGCTGGACTACTGCACTCATTGTCTCTTGTCCTGATGGATGCATACTAACACCCACCTCCAAAAGCAGAACCTCTCCATACACGTCCAGTGACAAGTTGAAATGGACGAGTGCTGATCTCCTGACCGGCAGCAGCCACACCAATTATGGTTGATTCACCCCATCCCTTGTGGCAGCACTCTAAGGCAGCGCGCTTGGGAAATAATCGCATAACAACTAATTACGTAATGATTAATGAAATAAAAACTAGGAGCAATGTTAAAATAGAGCAAGGTTATACATTTATGCTAATACACAAACCAAATTTCTTCTCATACAATTTTAACTCTTGATCAAGAAAATAAATTATTTATGACTAAAGAATTAAGTTTAATGTTTTTGGAAATGTACATTCAGGTTAAGCAGACGGCTAACAATCACAAAAGTTTTCAATCATCATTTACCTCCAAACTGTTGTAATTTATATAACATTGTTTCATTTACCATAGTATGGACATTGCCAATGCATTCAAAAGTGTAATCAAACCCTCCATCTGTGAGTGACATGACAACCTCTTGTATGGTTTTATTCTCGTAGTCATTAGGGTTGATGAAGTCAGTGGCACCAAAGTCACGAGCTGTGTTTAAATATGAGAATTTACCAATGATGCTATTTCAAATCTCTTTAAAGTAATCTGATTCCTCAATTATTGAAGTAATCATAGACTGAATCCCAACAATAATAAACAGTTGCTTAACTCTTTCGCTGCTGAATTTTTTTATCGAAAAAATGTACATTATTTTTTGAAGAGCAAAAAAGAGTGAAAGATTTATTAAAAATATTTAAAATATAATTTTTTGGTTTACAAGCGTAAACTTGGTATCAAATGAAAGATAATTGAAAGGACTAAATGTTTGTAAACTTATTTATTCATTTTAAATAAATTAAGCTACAGAAAAGAACCATAAAATGTGAAATCATTATATGCTAACCCATTTTTTTCCTCAAATCCTATTATGTACACATACATCATCTTCACTTCTATAACTAAAATCCTCTAAAACTACTACTATCGGAACCATCCAATGGATCTAAATATAAATCATCTTCACTATCAAAAGAAATAGTATAAAACAATTCCAAAGCTTTTTGAGCTGTTAATTGTCTAGGAAACTTACTCACATACTAGGGCCTAGAGTAGCCATAGCAACAGTAGAAAAAATAGCTAAGAAAATCATTAAACTAATGCTTCAAATGACAACAAATAAACCTTGGTTTTTCTTATAAACAATAAAGTACCACTTTCAATATAAAAGTTTTATTCAAAAATAGCTTTTAAAAAGTTTAACCCAGAAATAGTAAAGAAACAAACATGATATTGAAACAACCAGAGCGTGTTGGTCCATGCTATTGAGAATGGCGGATGAACACAGTGTGTGTTGTTCCGCAGCGAAAGAGTTAATTAACATCTTGAAAAAATAAATATCATTAGGATTTTTAATTTTCTATATTTTGCGCTAAACCTTGATATAAAAGAAATGTTTAAGCAGAAATTTGAATACATGTCAGATCATAGAAGATTTATAGACAAACTATTGATTGAACTGCCTTTTATGATAAGAAACATAATTGACCAGTTTCAAACTTGTCTGAGTTGATGTCGATGCCAAAGATCCTCTCAGCTCCTGCCTTCTGACAGCCCATGATGACAGCTAATCCAACAGCTCCCAAACCCCAGACTGCACATATAGAGCCTGGTGTCACCTGATACCATAGAAACATATTGCCATCAAGTCACCAGTGCACACATCTGTACAACCATTTCAAATAGATTGTATTTTTAAAAATATTGCATTAACAAAAATTAACAATTCCTTTTCATACATGAATAATCAAACTGCTGGAAAAGTTAAATTATTTGTTAATTATTATCATTGATTAGCAATTCATTTCTTAACCTAAATCCTCAAGTCAGCCAATACTCAATATTTAAGTTGAAAAATTTGACTCAGTGAAAGCGTTACATGCATAAAGTTTATAAAATGAAATCCAGCTTAAATTTACCTTGGCTGTGTTAAGAGCAGCTCCATATCCAGTAGAAATTCCACAGCCCAAAAGACAAACCTTATCTAGTGGGGCAGCTGGATCAATCTATAAATATAAAAAATTAAACACATTGAAAATAGATGAAAAAGTCAGATTAAATAATATGGTAATGAGGGGAGAGACTGCAATCAGGTTAGCAAAAAAGGAAAGTAAAACAAAGAGAGGTAAACCTAAAAAAAAAAGAAACGCAACAAAAGAAATCTTTTTGCTGCCCTCTCAGGTAAGGGCTATTTTTTAATTTAATACCGTTAATTTTCTGTTGTTTGTTCGCTGGTGAAGGCTTCCTGCCGACATGTTCGTTGTTTTATTGTGTTCCTTTTTCAGGTTTGACCATCCTTTGTTCTACTCATTTCCTTACTTTTTAGATTAAATAATAGCACTTTAGTAATTGGTAAATTAAAATGTTTCCATTCAACATTAAGCTATGAACAAATTTGAGCCCTAATTTGCAAGTAACACGCAAGCAGTTTTCACTACATCACATTTAACCAACCTTGCAGACAGAAATCTCAGCACACACTGTATACTCTGAGAAAGATGAGCAGCCCATGAAATGAAAAAGTTGCTTTCCTTTGCAGGTAAATCTTGTAGTTCCATCAGGCATCAGTCCTTGCCCCTGTGTCACTCTAACAGAAAATATAATAAAGCAAATCTTGTCAATTCTGTAAATACTCAGCAACAGTTAGAGAGTAGTTTCTTCAATTCTGTCAATCTCAGCAACAGTTAGAGATAGTTTGAATAAAGAATAGCTTGAATTTTGGCCATACTAATTTCACAGAGCTCAAAATGATGAAACATTTCTTTGAGAAATCAAAAAAGTTATTATTTCTCCTGCAATTAATATAAATATTAGTCATTCAAAAATTGTTTCTTACAATTACTGATCTGCAAATGATACATCTTTACTCATTTCTTTAGTATGTGTCACTGAAGGTCAGTGTTAATGTAATGTAAAAGTGGGGATAAAAATAAGACCATTTACCTAATTTTTTGACACAGGTTGGTTTTTGGGCTTTTACAAAATTTGCACTCATAGCATTGTGGAGTGTACAATGGAATGACATGATCTCCTGTACAACAAATATGCAGTTGGTTATCATATTTTTTAATAGTGTATTTACTCCTTTTTTTTTATTATTCACTCTCAGCAAATAAGAAACTAATCGAAATTTTTAAAAAGTTTTTAAAAATATTTTTTTTTAATTAAAAAATCATCATTCAAATTTCTTTTACCATATAAATGCACACAAATTTTTGTTTCAATTTTTAGGTAACTTACCAGGAGCTACTGAAGTCACACCTTCTCCAACACTCTCAACAATTCCTCCTCCCTCATGGCCAAGTATAACTGGAAAAACTCCCTCAGGATCATGACCTTCCAAAGTGTATGCATCTGTATGGCACACACCTGTGGCAAGGATCTGGAAACAACAATTATTTATGTAATGATGCATGATTATTTTAAACATTTTCCAAATAAATTTTCTAATAACTGATCGGGAAGGTTAATTATTTAAGATTTTAAAATGAATATTTATGTGACAAACTGCATTTTGCCTTTTACAGGCAAGCGGCAAGCACTTAATTAAAGAAAAATATATTCTAAAATAATCATTTTGTAATTCAATCTTACTTGAATCCTAACTTCTCCAGCTTTAGGTGGGGCAACTTCAACTGTCTCTATTGAAAGGGGCTTTTTTGCCTCCCAGGCAACTGCAGCTAGGCAAGTTATAGACTGCAAAAATTTAGAGGGGAAAAAAAAGCATTTTTTAAGAACTGTTTTAACTCAAACCAAATTCTTCTATTTTATAATTAAATTTATGGTCCTTTCAACTTAAATCATAAATGTATATTTCCTAGCCCAGGTATGTACTCACTTGAATTACTAAATTCAAGGGAAAGGATAGTCAGTCTTTCCTCAATACACTTCTTTCATATCTTACACAGGAATGACACTAGTACTACATACTTATAATTGTAATGTAACAATATTATTAGGGCCTAATAGTAATAGTAGTAATTAGTATTAGGTTTGTACTAATACTATGATAATTAGGGCCTACAAATTAAAAAAAAAAAACACTTTTGATCTAGGCTAAACTTATTAGTTGGCTAAGCCGCAGCCTAAGTTCCAAATTCTAGTAGACTTTTAAAAACTTTTACTAAGACTAAACATTTAGGAACTTTAAGTCTACCGAATTAGTAAGTTTGGGTCCGTCATTAAAGTGTGCCACACTATTTTTTACAATTTGTCCCCCTCCCCCCATCACAAATCTTTAACGACTGGTCACCCCACCCTCTTAATTATGTCACACTTACAGCACTGCAGGACTCAATTGACCAATAATACTCATTAGGCCTTATCTCCCACCAGAAAATCTATAATGGGGGAGCTGGGGGGTGTCAGTTGACCATGTCCTTAAACAGAGATTGGCCAAAGTTTATTTTTTCATCATTAAGCCTAATCACATTATTATACCCTTTCATTTTACTTTGACTAAAGTAACAAGATTTTTGTTTAATATGCACTAAAACTATTATTATGGTAATTATAGACACATTAAGGCCTATATTTTAATTCATAATTTTATTCATAATAATTAGCACACAGAAAATGTTTACAATAAATTTATTTCTCAGCCTCAGCTGGATTTTATTTTTCAGTTGTGCACATATTAATCTACTTAGCCTTGGCAAAAAAAGAAGATGGGTATAATTTTTTAAGACTATGATCCCCTTGCCCCCAGTATCTATCTATCTATATTAGGTCTATATTATAAATTATAATTATATAGCAAATAGCATTATAGAAAAACAGCATTTTGAAACTCTTCTACAGCTTTGATGACATTCTCAAAATCTTTGAAAGTAACAAAATACCAAATTAATTTAAAACTAAAATTCTTTGAGGATTCACTATTGTTATTGTCACTAGTATGAACTAGTAATAAATGAGCGTCACTGATAGCAGATTTTTAAAATTCCAGTTTTGGTTTGATTTGATTAATTTGATTGCTTGGGCAACCAATAGCGCTCTAGAAGCTATTGGTAGATTACTACAAATAGCTCTCTAGAAGCTACCAATAGAAACTTTCATATTTAATTATTAGAATATTTAAATTTAAGGCCAATCTAGATTTTGTATTTGATTCCAAATATTTGAAATCTTTTGATTAAGCCTACCTTCCCAACAATACATATAAATGCCTATAATTCTAATAATTTAATGTCTTGCTAAATTTTTTTATTCATGTGCTGAAATTGAATATGTAAAAAATAAAATGTAATTAAAAAACATTTCCATTTATTTGGATCAATAAACGAATTGTATCTTATCTTTTGAATTGCAGATGATTCAGCGTCTGCTATTGAAAAATCATGTTTTTCAGGTTTGAAGTGCTGTTTTACCAGTTATTATTTTATTGATAAGATAACATTCCTGGTAATCTAGCAGTTCAGGTGCGTAAATTATTTCCGATCGAATTTCGTATTATTGCGTGTAAACTTACGTGTATTCTTCATTAAATTAAATCCAGGCAGTAGTTAACTAATACTGAATTATACAGCACTTATTTTTGTTTTATTTTATTTCTTAAGCGTCTTTGAACATCCCCAACCTTCCATTGCTCCATTTGTAATTGTTTTGTATTTTTTACCATGTTGCCAGATTTTTTATCACCAAAAAGTTAGTATGCAAAACGAAATTTTCAAACTGTAGCCATGTTCACAAAAAGAATGAAATATGGGGGGAGAGGGGTGTTGAACTTTATTAGATGTTCTGTTATTTTATAGGGGCACGAAATTCTTTTTTTTTCTTATATGGGTGTATAAATATAATTCCAATCAAAGGCTCCTGCATGGGCATGGGTGAATGGAACAAGATCTAATTTAGTAAACATAATAACATACATACACTCGATAATCCATATTCAAAAACCGTTACTGACGTTTATGAACTCATAATTTTAATTTTTCCTAAGATTAGCCAATTTACACGCTAATTTTATATAAATTTATTTTGTGAACATGCTTTTAGTTTGAAAAGTTAAGCATCAATAAATAATTTTGGTATAATTTGATATAAATCTAATGATTTTTTGTTTCGTTTTTTTTAATGTGCTTTCAGTTGAAAAATTGCAATCTGGCATATAGGGTGAATTTTTAAAAAATATAAGAAAATTGAGAGATCGATTACTCCAGGCCTGCACAACTCAAAATGTAAGGCGGGCCGTAATGCTTTATGAAAACCTTGTGCTATCCAAAAGAAAATAGATTATGACTTGTGCGGGCTAAAACATAAAAAGGACAGGGGGAAAGCTATTAAGAAAATAACAAGAATTTAGAATATTTCGTTCCTTCCCGGGCCGCAAAGTGGGCTCTGGTGGGCCGCATGTGGCCCGTGGGCCATATGTTGCGCAGGCCTGGTTTACGCTACGGCCATGTACCAATGGGGGCTGTGAAAATCAATAAAAAGAAAAGTTATTGCTGTACAATTTAGTGTTAGGCTAGGGCTAACTAATACACTAAATTTTATAAAGAATCATGTAAGATTACACGCGATAATAAGAAATTCAATCATAAATAATATATGCACCAGAACTGCAAGATTACCAAACCAACATTCCTTTATTGATCCAAATCAATGTCATGGCATGATAGCCATACCCCCAGGTATTGCCATTATGCTTACGACTTGAGGTGTTTATAAATGAACACCCCAGCCCCTCTGTGCAATAGCACCCCACTCATCAAAATTCCCTGAAAGAAACAAGGATCATCAAAATATCATGTTTCATCCCTTACATTGAGTGACTCCTAGTTTAAAAATAATGCAAGGCTAATATTAAGGACGGCTGCCAGGGTGTTTATTATAGTTGCAGTGAATTAGGGTTTAGGTTAGGTTGAGGGATCGATTTAGGGTTAAGGTTAGGCATAGGGATGGATTTAGGGTTCAGGTTAGGCATAGGGATCGATTTAGGGTTCAGGTTAGGCATGCGGCATAGGGGTCGATTTAGTTTAAAATAAAATGAGTAAAACAGACTAGGGTTAAACCTAAAAAAATAAACGCAACAAAACAGCGAACGTGTCGGCAGAAAGTCTTCGTCGATGAACAAAACAACAGAAAAAACGGTATAAAAATAAGAAATAACACTTAGCTGGTAAGTAGTATCTGTGGGCAGCAATAGAAGTGTGTTCTATTGCTGCCCACAGATACTACTTACCAGCTAAGTGCTATTTCTTATTTTTATTTTTATACAGTTTTTGTTTTACTCATTTTATTTTGTACTAACCTGATTGCAGTCTCTCCCCTTATTACCCCTCAATTTAGTTTAGGGATACATTCGTGAAATTCGATAAAATAGTGGCAGTTGTCCTTAAAATGTACCTAATGCAAATATGAATATTCTATTGGTAGTTGCTTTTGAGCTCTCAGCTTCAAACGAATTTCGCATTGGCAGCCGGTGTCATACTGCGGGGCAATCATAATCATGATAATGTTTGACTATGACGTCTATGACTGGCCCTGCCCGGGTGTCATGCTTACCCATGTTCCCATTCTCTCGTGCATCCTCAGTCATTTAGCCTACAATGGGTACAATTCCCAAAGATTAATCATTCCCTACCCATCCTTCTCGTTAGAAATAAATAAGCTCATTTTGTTACTTTTTAATCATAATTTTCATTTCGCACTTACTTTTCCAGCTGTAGCCATTTTTAGAGATGTTGAGGTGGTCTAAGCAGTAAGACTGACACCAAAGATGTGGCGTGTGCAAATTAATACCGAGATATGGTTTTTAGTGGATTTTGAGCTCATAACTATACGCATAATTATTAATTGAAAATAAATCAATTATTATGAAATTATAAAATTTTATTCACAGTGACGTTCGTAGTACTCACTAAGTGTAGCTTAAAACATTAATTTTAAACACTACAAGTTGGCCTACTGGCCCACTCTAAGTTTTAAAAAGTTTATTAAATAATAATGAATAACGTTATTGTGGCTATTTTAGAGGTCGTTAGCAAGTTACGTCACGCCAAAATGACATTTTCAGACCCCCCCCCCCCTTTTCCCCCTGTCACAAATTCTCACATCACACTTATAAAAATTCAAAACATGCAATAATTTTCATAAATAAGATTTGATTTTATTCTTTAACATACTATTTTAGAGGTCGTTAACAAGTTACGTCACGCCAAAATGACATTTTCAGCCCCCCCCCCCCCTTTTCCCCCTGTCACAAATTCTCACATCACACTTATAAAAATTCAAAACATGCAATAATTTTCATAAATAAGATTTGATTTTATTCTTTAACATTTAACCATAATGGATTAAGATGTAGTATTATTAGAAAACTGTGACACAAAACAACTCTATCTCCTTGCAGCTACTCGCATTGGTCTAATCTTGAGCAGGTGCTAAGTTCTTATGCTGAAGAGGGCATTATCGGTTCTGTTGAACATGCTTTTTCTAAATGACTTGTAGGCTACTTGTGATGCAAAATAGATGTTACAGATTTTGCAAATTCGTTTAAGCACCGATGCTATTATTGTTAATAACTTCGCATTCCCCTAATTCTCAAAATATCGTAATCCTACTCTATCAATATCATTTAACTTGACTGCACATGACTCTTGAACCCCGTCCTTGTTCCATACCTACAGCATGATCTCAAACATATCGCCCTAGTCATTTGCGACAGCGTCTTCAGATGAAGAGACGCCAACTTTTGACGTCTCTTACACTAACAAAGAATGCTAACATCCTGACCAGCCATCAGCAGTGCACAGACAGACAAACAATCTTATATTGTTAAAAGTCTAAAAATGATATGACTATTTACACTCATTTACACTTATAATTTTTTTTTAAAATAATGTAACAATCAGTCAATTTTTAAGATTAAAATTTCAATAGAGAAAACATGATTGTTGATGTCAACTAAACTAAACCCCCACCCTCCCCCTTGTCAACAACTGTCAAACATTTCCACACCCACCCACCCCCTCATTTTGTTGACATAATTAATGGACGCCCCCTTATAACTGAATTTAGTACTTCATTTAGAACAGGCACAATTTTTTTTAGGTACCACGTTTTCCCTGTGAATAACACAATGCACCAGTAACATTTCTGAATTCTCATCTTTCATCAATTTTAAGCAGCCATCTTTTTTGCCCATCATATTATGAGCACAATCTGCAGCAAAAGGTGTTAAATTTTTCAGTGGTTATTATTAGCTTGTACGTAATTTCTTTAGCCTATTATACACATCTTTGTCGGCAGTAGTGCTTTCTTATGATTTACAGAACAACATTTCTTCAGAAAAATACCCTTTATTAATACATCTTACCTAAGTTGACGGTTGGTTTTCAAATCCTAGACAGCTCATTTCCAATTCCCCCCCCCCTTTTCTAAACAGCGTGGGCCCCACATTGGGAAACACCGCCTTAATGTATAAAAAAAGATAGTCTACATTCGAACAGATCACCCCTTTTGTGCTTTTGAAAACTTAAATACTCTCTCACTAGTGGTCCTCAGTTCCTCTCCATATCTATTATCATCTTTTGTAGTTTAAAATATTAATTTAACATTAATAATAAGCTTCTTAATTTCTGTTAGGCTACCTTGGCCTTGACAGTAGGCTACATAGGGCCTACCACAGAACTATGTAAGAGGCAAGTTTTAGTATTGAACAACGTTTTTATAGTACGCCTTTGCTTCCACACAGAAACTTAGAGAGCTACGCCTTTGCTTCTACACAGAGACTTAGAGAGCTACATTGTGATCTGAGAACACTTAATTAATTGAATTTCAAATAATTGGTTATTTCTTGTTTTGTATGTATTGTCTGCGGAAAGAAGCATTGAGCCGAAGCGCCCTTTAATTATTATGTTGGTTTTATTTCAAGCCTGAACATACACTGTGGGCCAATAAAAGTGAGAACATCTCGTGGCAAAATATACTTTAATTAATTATCATTCTTCATGGAATTTCTTTTGCAAAATATTTAGCTAATCAGAAATGATGTTCAATGTGTTCTCCTGGCTTCTCAACGACTTTTTCCAAGCGTCGACACCACTATAGTATATGGGTATAGTTAAACTAAATTTTATGTGATTAAATCACATTTTACGAGATGTTCTCACTTTTATTGGCCCACCCTGTATATTGTTAAATTATTTATTTATTGCACAAGAGTTATGAAGCCACCAGATCAGACAGACTCGGGGGAGGATAACGGGTATTCTAGAGAAGGGGAAAAAAATAGCAGACAAGGGCCACCAACGAAGTAGCAGAGATATTTTTGGGGTGTTCAAGGTAAAAGGCTGATATTGGTGGCAGAAGAAGAGTTACTGATGTCCATTCATGAACTAACCACTTTTTATTATGACCTTCTAAAAGTGATATGTGAAATACCAAGATTACGAAGGCACATAAAGGTCAAAACCTTTCAATATTAATTTGTAGTTTTGAAATTCATAGCTGAATGAGACTTCCTAGAATCTCTTCTAATACTTCTAATGCTCTCATTAAGCCTACAATTATTTCTTACAATCTGCGTATATGTTGCTTCATGTGAGAGGAGCTATTCAAAACTAAAACTTATAAAGAAATATTTGCGATTTACCATGGAGCAGTCCATGCTTTCTTTTGTGCATGTGTGTGTGTGTGTGGGGGGGGG